ACCGAAAAAAAAAAAAATAAGGTCCTATTTGAATGCTATAATGGAATAGAATAAAATGAATTAAAAAAATAAAGATAATAAAAATAAGATAATTAAAATGTGGAAAAGGATAAGTGAATCATATTCATAAAGGAAAATGGTAACTTTAATTTATGAGGTTAAGAACTATAATTTATAGTAAGATTTTTAGAGGATGTAATCATTCTCATATTTATGATATATAATATTAAATTTTTATCATACTTATCATAAAGAAAGAAAAGTGACTTAACTCATTTTTATTTTAATTTTTTTAATCCATTTTATTCACGCTCTTTCTAACAACCAAATGGACCAAATGTAATGGCATGTTTTAATGAACATGGGGTTGACTAGCTATAAAGATGCAATTGGAGAGAAGCTCTCTCTCTCAAAAATATTGTTCTAGGTGATGTTACATACCACCTTTATTTCAATTTATAAGATAATTTTAAAAAATATTTGATATTTAAAAATATAAGACACTTTTGATTAGAATAAAGTTTTATTAATGATATTTCTTCAATATTACCTTTCTCATTAGCTTTTTTCTCTTTAATATTTTTTCACAAATAGAGTGTTAATTGAAAATCATTTTTGAAAGTCTATATTTTTATCTTAAAAAAAGATTATAAAGCGTATTTAATAAACTTTATTAGTATGGGTGATCTTATTTAAAAAGGGGTGGGTTTCTCTCCTTTGCTTTTTTTTCCACTGCCTTTTCATTGCAAATTTAAACCGTTCAAATTAAATTTATATTTTTTAAAATTATTAAATCTAAATTTTTAAATTCAATTTAATGGCCCAGATTCACACTAATCTCTCCCTTACTCTCCTTTATAGAGGAGAAAATCCATCTTCATTTAAAAGTGTTTCATAAATTAAAATTGAAGGAGTATTACATCCTGCTTGTTTATATAAACAATTGATTCTGTATTAACTTATACACGTTAAAGAAACTTTAAACAATACTCCATCTATTTTTACACATAAAAGAAAATAACTATGTCATATAATTTTAAAAAAATTGTTAAGTACAACAATTATGTTTGAAATTAAATGGTTTGGACTAAATTATCCCTGTAATTAATGAAATAAATTTGTCTAGTGCAAATAAAAATTGACTTTATGAAGGACAATTTGAAAAAAATGTGATAAATATTTCTCAAATTTTGTAATATTATTTATAAATTAAAAACAAAGATATATATGTTAACTTCTCTTATATTTGGAAACAGAAAGAGTATTCATTTGCCTTTAGTACAAATTTCTCTTAATATTTAACCACCTGTGAGATTTTTATTCAAAGTTATGAAAAATCCAATGGTAGCTATTCCTTCCATTAAAAAATATAAGATATTTTTAACAGAATCTCACCTACAATAAAGTAGTCACCTACTTTCAAACTAACCTTATCTTTTCATATTCATTCCTATTAAATACCCTACAATAAATATAAAGTCATTATTAATAGAGACATTTAAAAAAAGGCAATGATTATACCTCGAAACACTGAGAAATATCTTGTATTTTTTATCATCTAACTCGTCAAAAAATTCTTTATGTTTTTGAACGGATGAAGTATTTCATAATTAAGAGATTCATTTACTTGAATAAATTGAGTAAAAAATTGATCTTCATTTAAATTTAGCTGCAACGCACAAGAATAAAAGCTAGTTTTGACATTACTTGTTTATTATAAATACGACTCGGAGGTAGCATGAAAGATTTGTTAGTCCTTGGTGAGCTAGAAGCCACAGTTACCAAAACTTCGAATCATTAAGAGTAATAATAGATTTCCCATTTGACATGGATTAGCATTTACAACTCTTTGACGTTATTAATAAATACTTGATCTTGATGACAAGTAACAGCTAGTCCCCATTGATGAAAAAGCAAACACAGTACGTCACTCAATTTCAATTATTCCCAAAAAAGTACAGATTAATGCAAATTTGAGGATAAATTGACTCATTCGCTGAAAAAATTCTTATGTCCAAAAAATATGAATAAAATTTTTAAAAATTTAAGAACGTGACCAATTCAAATTGACATACAAAGAGGTTTATCATTCGAATACAAGAAATTTATAGTTAAAACTTTAAAAAATTATAATAAGTTTATCATTAATATATAATAAAATATTATTAATAAATATAATAAACTGATCATGATATAAAATAACATAAGTGCTAAGCTATTTATTTGGTTTGATCTTATAATATAAATTATATATGTAAAAACTCCTAAATTTAAGTCTAAAGCTAGAAATAAGTGAATAATATTTTTCAAAAAATAATGTAGAACATGCATAGTACTTAGGAGTGTCGTTTTAAGTCTAAGCTCAAAGACAATGAAATCATATTTGGTGCTTATCATATGATGATGAGTGATTAAAATGGTTAAGATTTGTAGGTTTCATTTTTATATTTTAATTTATATATATTAAAATAAAAATTATAAATTTTAATAAATTTACTTCATCATTAATTTAGATAATGTAGATTTAATTTGAATGATTTAATTTAATATTAAATATTTTATAATTATAAATTCATTATCCAAATGTAATTTAGACAGTTTAAATTTAAAATTTTTAATTTAATCCCTTTTCTCAATTTTTTAATATTATATTTATAAAATAAAAATTTTAATATTAAATTTAAATTATTTAAAATACATCTGAATAGTTAATTTATAAAAATTATAAAAAATAATATTAAATTAAGCTATTTAAATTAAAATTATATTGTTCATATGGAAGATAAGATAAATTTATTAAACTGTATAATTTTTATAATAAATATAAAATAAAAATATAAAAATAAAACCTTAAAATCTGTACTATCCAACACCAATGCCAAACTCTGAAATTAGTAGGTAAATTGATTTACAGTACAATGATCTCTATAAAGTTGCAAAGCAAGAACCTCAAGATTAGCACAGGGGACCCACCAAAGATGCTGATTGATTGATAGACATTCACTGAATAGGAACAATATAACAAGATTTCAAATGGAGGGTTGCCCCAAATATAATCATGAGGGAATCATTTTAGCGGAAAAAAAGTCTCAAAAGCAGACATTGGAATTGGAATTATTGTTTGGAACTATCTACATTCTCATGTTTTATTCTTCACCCCATTTAACTTCAGCCATCACTTCCTATTCTGCTAGCTAGCTATTTCCTTTATTTAAATTATATTCTCTTTAATATTTATTTTGTCACTTGCATGTGGAATTTAACTTTATTCCTATTCTTTTTCCCTCTAAAATTTAATCAAGCAAAGCTTATATTCCTACCGCTAACTGTCACTATTTAACTGAAGAGAAAATAATTAGTAGGGATGGTTTTGGTGGCCATCAGCTCTCACACACACATTTTAAAAATCGGAATATTATAGTGTCCAAGAACATGGCATCTGAAATTATGCTTGACAAGAGAGCCAGAAAAATAATGACCCTCGATCTTAATTTGTCATTTTGTTTAGGTTCTGTTCAATTGTTTAATAGCCGTCTTCTAGAAGGATAGAATTAGAATGCAATTCTGGATGCAAATTATTGGCGCTGACTGTTTGTTTTCCAGTGAAAACAAATCCAGGCAATGGAAAATATATGTGCACAATGTTCATTTCTGAAGGCTATAGATGAGAGAGATAAATTAAAAAATTTAAAAAATATCATATTAATTACTATTATGATGAGTATAATATATAAAAGGACAAAGGGATAAACTAATAAAAACTATTTAAAACAATATCTTATTAAATAATATCTCTCAAATAATGACAAATAATAAATAGAAATATATATTTAGAATATTCTAAATAACATTCCCCCTCAAACTCAAGATAATTTAATAGAAAACAACTTAAGTTTGTTTACTAGAAACTGAAAGCGGCCTGGACAAAAAGACTTTTTAAACAAATCTACAGCTGATACTTAATTCGAGTTGGAACAAGTCGGATAGTGCCTCTAACAACATGCTGCCGAGTAAAGTGATAGTCAATCTCAATGTGTTTGGTCTGCTCATGAAACACATCATTTTTGGCAATCTTGATTGCAGCTTGACTATCACAATAAATGTTTGTGGAAGAGCTTTGAGATGGTCCCAACTCATCAAGTAACCAACAAAGTCAAAGTACCTCAGTAATAGTGTTTGCTAGTGCACAATATTTCAATTTAGCAAAGCAAGAGGCTAATGTCTTCTTTTTACTTCTCTAAGAGATAAGGGAATGATCGAGGAAGATATAAAAACCTGTCGTAGACTATCAATCATAACGATCACCACCCTAATCAACATCAAAGTAAGTTTGCAGTGTAAGAAAGGAGCTAGCAGAAAAGTGAAGCCCCATGATACAAAGTGCCTATAATATACCGAATGATCCGAAGAACTATTGTATAATAAGTTATGTGAGGCTTAGACATAAAATGGCTAACAATATGAACAGTATAAGCAATGTTAAGATAGGTGACAGTAAGATAGATGAGGCCTCTAACCAACTGGTAGTAACAAGTGAGATTATCCAATAAGGTGCTATTAGTAGAAGTATAGTGAACATTCAATTCAATAGTATAACATTCCAATTTAAATTTTAATAGTTAATTTGAGTTAATAGAAATTTTAAAAAATATTTAGAGGTAAGTAAATTAGTAGGAGATGATTATTAAATCTAACTTAGGATATAATTATAAATTAAAATTAAAAAAATTAAAAAAATAAATAAAAAATAAAAAAATATTATTAAATTATTATTATTATTATATAAAAAAAGAGAAAAGGTAAAAAAAAACAAACAAAACGAGAAGAATAAGAAAACTTTCGGCCATGCGCGTGTAATCATTATATTTATATAATAATAATAAAAAAAAAGAAAGAAGAGAGAGGAAAGAGGAAAGTAATTAAAAAAAAATTGTGGGACCCATATTCGTTTTTAAAAACCACCGTTCTCTTCTCATTTTTCCTTCATTTCTCTTCTCTTTCGTGTGCGATCAGAGAGAGCATCTGAGCCAAGTTCACCGGTGCTGGGTTTTAAGGTAAGAGTTTTTAATAGGATATTTAGGGTGTGATTTTAAGCTTTTTAAGACTAAGTAAGTGTTCTAAAAATTTTTCTTAGTCATCCTTCTTCTTTGGTTTCTGAGTTTGTAGTGGTAGAAAATTTAAGATCTGAAAGAGGGATAAATTTATGTTGAATAAATATAGTTTTTGAGGTTATCAGTAGTATAATAAATGTTCTATAGTATAAATTTATTGATGATCTTTGAATTTGTGGTTTATGGATCAAATTCTAAACTATATCTGAAAATATATGTTGATTTATTGATGTTTAAATGATTATTTGGGATGAGAAATGAATTATTATGGCTATAGGATTATGATTCTAAGCTAGAGACTCAATTTTTGATTTTTGAGTATTTTAGGTACGAATTTATGAAATAAAAAGAAAATTTTGATAATAGAAATTAGTTTAGAAGCTGATTTTTAGATTATTAATGTTTATTGATAATTAAAAGAGGAGTTAAAAATTTTACTTAATAGTGTTGACTCTAGATTTGTATTAAGATTGAGATTAGGAATTATGTTATATTTTTAATTCTATTATTAGAATTATTTTATTAGTTTCAAAAATTGAAATTTATATTTATAAATAATATGTTATTTGTAGATTGTATTATTGGTGAAGATTGTGGTGGGAGAGAAATTATAAGGAATAATTTATTGAAAAAGCCACGAGGCAACCATGCTTTTAATTTGTGATTTGTGTTACTTCATGTTAATTGGGTGATTATTGAGAAAATTATAAATTTTGTAATATTATATAATTGTGCAATATTATTATGAATTTATTTGATTATTGTGGGAGGTGTTGGGAGACTTGCTATTGTTGTTGTATTTATGTTACGCCCCTATTGGAGCTCAATAAGTGGTTTGTAAGGGCTCGGGCTAATCTACCTTTGGCCAGGTAATTTAGCACCGAGTGAGGGCTACGGCTCGAGGTTAATGGAGGGATATAAGGATGGTTATTTGTGTGTATTGTAATATTTATTATATTTGTTGGAATTATATTATTTTTAAATTCTCACTTAGTAAGTACATACTTAACTGTTTGTACACACTATCATAAATTGGTATTGGTTACTGAGACTTTTGAGTTTCATTATGTGGTTAACAATTTTTAGGAGAAGAGCCACGAGTGACACGTGGAGGAGTCCCAGAGGCTTAGTGGCATAGATCCACTATCTCTTTTGGGTATTTGATTTATGATTTATAACGTGTTATATTGCCAATATTAGGGCTTTTTCTTTATTGATAATTATATGAATATATAAATGTAATCATGCCTTTCAAACTATTTCTATTTTTGGTATACTTTGGATGACTGTAATTTTAATATTTGATTTACTTTGGATTGGTTAAAATGGCATGATTATGAGGCCAAACAACTGGCTTGTGTTGAAAATTGACTAAATTGTTTATTTTATTTGTTGGGAGTATAAGAATAGACAAATGTGATTTAGTTTACTTATTGGGAGTATAAGGATGGACAAATGTAATTTAGCCTAGTGGCATGTGGGAGGTAAAAATTTATATGAAATGTTGTATTGTGCGAGTTTAAGCCAATTATAAAATATTTTATATTGAAATTATTGATATAAAAAAATGTGTTGGGTGGCTGTAACCCAACTATGGTTGAGTTAAATTATTTAAAAAAAAAATTTTGTGTGTTACAAATAGGAGTAATTTTAACCTTCTCATTAGAAAGGAAAACTCAGGATATCAAATCGGTGGCATACTTAACTTAAAATAGAGATATACCATCACTTCGATGGTAGACCTCAAGCCCAAGAAAATTATTCAATCTACCAAGATCCTTCATTTCAAATTGTTGGCCTAAGTATGTCTTGAGCTTCTAAACTCCTATATCATCGCTACTTGTGATAATGTCATCAATATACAATAGCAACATAATAATACCATGAGAAGTGGAGCAAATAAAAAGAGTCGAGTCGTGAGAACTACAAGAAAAATTTAATTGACTCATAGTGTTATTAAACTTGGCAAGCAATGCATGTAAAGCCTACTTAAGCCTATGTAGAGCTCGACAAAAATGACATACCTTATCTTTTGGATGTTGACACCCGAGTGGGGGCTTCATATACACTTCTTCTAGATCTCTATTTAGAAAGGCATTTTTAACATCTATCTGGTGAAGAGGCCAGTGCTTAACAGCAGCAATAGGTAAAAGGTTGAGAACATAAGTCATACAGGAAACAAGTGTAAAAGTTTCCTTATATTTAACACTATACTCCTAAGTGAATCCTTGGGCCACCAAGTGGACCTTACATTACTTCAAAGAGCCATTAGAATGAGTGTTGTTCTTGTAGACCTATCGACACCCAACCAGAGTTTTTTCAGGAGAAAGATCAACTAAATCCCAAGTATGCATTTTCTTCAGGGCATGCAATTCATCATTCATAACTTGCTGTCAAAGGGAAACACAGGAGACTTCCTTAAAGGATTTGGGTTTTTAAAACTAGAGAATGGTAGAAAAATAATGGTAATCACCAAAGTAAAAGGGGGGATTTCCTACACGATCGGGCCAAGAGTCTATGGACAATATGAGCTTAGTAGGTGTGACTTGTGCTAGAGGAGCAATAGGTGTGATAGTAGGCACATTTAGAACGAGTGCAGTGTCAGTCGTGGAAATGAGCTTAGTAGAAGAATTTGTACTTGAGTCACTGAAAAAAAAGATCAGTAGAAATATTTGTAAAAATAGGAGATGAAGAAGATGAGAATGATGAGAGATCGGTTAGAGATAAAAACTTGACATTTTCCTAAAAAACATGCTAAGAAATATGAATACGATGAGTGAGAGTATCCCAACAATGATAGCATTTATGCTCAGAATCATAATCAAAAAACAACAAACATGAGAAGGAGCTTAAAGTTTGTTTATCTTATGAGATGGAAGAACAAAATAGGCACAAGCAAAGACTTTCAAAAGACAACAATCAGGAGGGTAACCATAAAGACACTTAAAAGGAGAAATGTTATTGGTGACAGGAGATAGGAGTCGATTGATGCAAAAGACAAAGGTTAAAGCTACTTCACCCCAAAACTGTTCAGAACAAGAAGAGGAAATGAGCAATACTTTAACAAAATTAAGAATATAACGATGTTTACATTTAACACAACCATTCTGTTGAGAAATATAGTAACAAGAATATTGAGAAATAGTACCCTAATAATCAAGAAAGGTGAGTAAACTAGAGTAATGATATTTTAAAGTATTATCACAATGAAAATTTTTGATAACTTTAGAATATTGAGTGTGAATAAGAGTAGCAAATTTGATATAAAGTTCAGGTAACTCAAGATTGATGTTTTATCATATAAATATAGGTAAAATGAGAAAATTCATTAATAAAAATCACAAAATATCAAGATTCTCCCATAAAGGGAGTAAGCGTAGGACCTCAAACATCAATATGAATCAAATCAAATGAAAAAGTAGCGATAGAATCATTTTTATGAAAAGATAAAGTAAGTTGTTTGGCAATTTGACAAGAAACGCATTGTAAAGAATGATTATAAACATGACCTAAAAGACCACTAAAAATTAGAGGATGCAATGTATTTAAAGAAGGGTAAGCAAGATAATGATGCCATAAGTTTGACAACATGCACCTTCCCTAGATTTTATTGGAATTGCAAAAAAAAAAAAATTTTTGGCTGAAGATGTTAAAAAGGCTTTTATAATTTAAAAAATGATGCGATTTTTGTTTCTATTTTCAAGAAATTTTTGCCTAAATTTTAATAAATCACAAAATAAGTCCCTATAGTTTTTTAATAGATTATATTAAAAACGTATCTTATTATTAATTTATTGGTTGCGTACATGGCATGAAACAAAAGAAATAAATTACACTATTTATGACATGTCTGTAATGTGGTTTGTTACTATTTATGACTGTGATTAATATATAATATGACAAACACTGGGGACCAAAACATAATTTTACTTAAGAAATAAGAAAGGAGAAGGGTGCAAAGGCCTAGAAAATAAAAAGCAAGTATGGCACACATACCTTAAAAAATGATAGAAACTAGGCCCAACATGTGAAAAGAAGGACAAGGATGATGAAATGCCCCATGATGTTTTGTTTTAGGATTTGATTGCATGTTATAAAAGCTGAGTTTTCACATCTTTATAACTGGAAAGCAGCTCCCACTGTGACCACCCATGCTCTTGAATCGTTCATTCACTTTAGGAATTTCATTAATTGAACAAGCTTATAGTGCTCACACCTTCACTAGTGCTAGAGTAATCTAGAATTATTGTTATTATTATATTAAAGAAGGGGGAAGGAGTTTAATTTAATTAACTATTAATCAAATCTTGTGGGTGGGTTCGTGAATGTAGTCAAATAAAATATAATCATAATTAAAATGGGAAAGTGAACTAATGGGAGTTACACGTTTGGGCTAATAAATTAATAAACTGAAGAGGATTGTGAGAGAGAAGGGGGGAGGGTGGGGAATACACACAAAAGACAATATAGGTTTTAGCTCTGGAATTTTCTCTCAATTATTAATTTAATTTTTGAACTTCAATTTAATATAATTCAATTTTTATAATTTATTGAGTTAATGAATTATAGGCATGGAGTTGTGCTAAATTGAAAGACTATAGGAATTTTTTTAAAATAAAAAATTATAAGAAATGAGTTGAGAAACTAAAAAGTTGTATTTTTTTATACACATATATAGGGCCCATTCAAGTGAATTCTTCTATTTCTTTCTTTTAGTTAAATTCTAGTATGTTTTGTCTCTCTTAGACTGATCCTTTTCATCTAATATACTATTATAACTTTCTCGTAAAAAAATGCGAGACATGGTATTTTAGAAACACATCCAATTTTCTAAGCAATCACAATTTTATGAAAGTGGGGGATGCTGTGCTAGAAACAAGGACCGTTTCTTTATCCAACCAGAGTCCAGAGCTATGTAGAAAAATTGAAATTGATAACCATAACCTTTATTACTACTTTGTTGGCCCAAGTAAACACCAACCTTAGAAATAAATAATAACTCAGGATAAAAGAAACGCAGTGGAGAAGACAAAACTTGAAAGAGAGTGACTTCAAACTACTTTACTATTTAATTTGTCAAAAGATTTAACAAACAGGGAAACACACTAAGGTTATTTATAGAATTATTAGTGCAACTATTTAAAATACACTAATCTACACTAATCCTAGATAGATATGATAGCAAATAAGATGGGATAAGTCTAATCCAAAATCCTTCAAATAATAAAAGATATGAATATTTTAATCAAAATCCCAACTTCTAAAAACAAAGATTGTTATTGAACAAATAAAAAGTTTTTAATTTCCAAACTCATAGGACAGTCCTCCCATCCTCCCCCGGCCCAATAAGTGTTTCTTTACTAACAAAGCCCATGCCACTTGATATTATAGAAACAAATTCATTCCCCCGTGCAACTCATTCTAGAAACAAAATTTTATTTTGTATGTAAAAGAAACAATTTTTGTTCCTCTATCCCATTGCAGTAATGCAGAAAAAAATCAAGTTGATCCCAACAAACAAACTATTCATCACAAACCTTGACCATCCATATCAATATTTCTAATTCTAATAATTCAGCGAGGCACAACACAGTCCAGATTTGTTTATTAACTAACCACAAACATGAGACATGGTCAAGCATGTCACTTTTCATCAAAACCAAGGTAACTAATGTAAACCCTGATGAAATTTTCTGTCAGAACATGCACCTTGCTTTTGAAGAATTTAAGAACTAATCTCCCATCAATTTCCCATGTTTGCATCAGAAAACAGTAAAGATAAAATACCAACTGTATAATGTTGCACAGGACGGCTCATCAGGAAATTTTAAGGATATTAACTTCAAAAGAGAGTTTCTGACTTTTTGGGTACTCTGGTCACATCTTTAAACAACAATAACAATATTAAACAGAAGCCTTGTCCCATTATGTTACATCTTTCATCCTCGCTATAATATTATCAGTCTCATTCTGTCACATGTCTTAAGGAACGTGCTAGACTGCAGAAACGTTAGCTCAGTTCAGTCTGATCGATATCAGTATCACCAGTAGTAGCCTTACTCGTCCTATCTATAAAACCCGTTGCTTGTTAGCTCAGCGTCTCAACCCCTCTCCAGCTTATTATTTAGGGGCGAGCAGCCCATTACGTTAGAAGGCCTTGCTTGTTGCTCTGTCATTGAATTCAGATGTACGGAACACACTCCATATCTCATATCTCATTCGTCAGTATTCAGTACTCGCTATCTGTCTCATTCTTAGTATTCACTATTCTGTCTTAGTTTCTAATTATCAGTTCAGAAAAGGTGGCAGATTTTGATGCATTCCTACATCATTGTTCAACCATAAAGTCACATTTCTTATATCATGGTTCCTCTGACTATTTAGATTAATTATATAAATATCAAGTCTCAGCAATAATAAATACTTCAATGATTTTTTCCCCACTAAATAAAAGAAAGTAATAAGCAAGATACATAAAAGAATGAAGGGTTTCCTTTTTGAAGTTGACATTGCCCGTGAACATTTCTAATATCTCCAATTCTCAATTGCCAAATTATGTCTCAAAGCTAGCAGGTCCTGTGTCTTGTATGATTCTGAATATCTCAAAGCAAATTACTTGTCAATATCTAATAACAGTCTTCATGCTACCAATAATTCTTGCAAGAGCAGTCACCATATCTGAAATGATGGAAACGTATCCTGTCTCTTACAATGATATCTCTTTGGTATACCCTAGAGACTAGTTTCATAAATTCATGACAGTCCTCACAAGACCTTAGATTTTTCACGATCCGGATTTCAGAATCTGGACTCATCTTGATTAATCCAAAAGCAAGAGCAAGCTTCTCACTATGATGAAGCAGCTGATTGGCTTTTTCCTGATCATCTACTTCAAGCAAGACGTCTGAAACTTTTGGATAATACCCTTCTTTTCTCAATTTATCTACCATTTCATTTAATTTGCCATATATCTTCTTTGCTTCGGAGTGATTATAATCTCCCATCACAAATTCATGTATCACACCTTCAACTTCAATCCTACTACATCCCGCTGGCTTTACTAGTCCTTTTTGTTTCATCAACTCTCTCACCTTTGCCTTATCACACCACTTTCCATCTGATGCATAAACATTACTAGCAAGTATGAAGCTTCCACCATCATCTGCATCCGTCTCTTGTAACCCTAGGTGTTTCATCAAACGCTTAGCTCTAGTAGTATCCCCATAAACATTACAAGCCCATATCAGGGTTCTCCAAAGCACTGCATCAGGTTTGATAGGCATTTTATCAATAAATTCTTCGGCTTCTTTTAAAAGACCGGCTCTAACTAGGAGGTCTACCATGCAACCGTAATGCTGAATAGTTGGTCTTACACCGTGTCTCTTTTGCATGCTACTCAAAAAATTGTAACCTTGAATAATCAAGCCTGCATTCCTACATGCTGATAAAATTGCTGTCATTGCCTTCTCATCGGGATTTATTTTTGAGGCTTCCATTTCAGAAAATAGGTCAATAGCTTCCTTGCATTGTCCATGGCTAGCCAAGCCAGAAATAATCGCCGTCCAAACAAAAACATCTTTGTCCATAACATCATTAAACACCTGCCATGCACTTTCTATACAACCGCATTTTGCGTACATATCGATAAGCGCAGTCATAACGTTGCCCTTACCATGAAGTTTCCTCTCCTTCACAATCTTATGCACTGTCTTCCCCACATTTAACGCTCCCATGTCAGCACATGCTCTTAAAACAGACACAACCGTGGCATCATTCACCTCAACCTCACACTCCAACATTTGTTCAAACTTCTTTATTGCTTCAGCAGGCCGATCATTGTCGACAAGGCCATCAATCATAGAAGTCCAGGATACCACATCTCTCTCAGACATTCTATCAAACACATTATATGCAGCTCCCAGTTCCTCAAGCTCTGAATACATATAAATCAACGAATTCCCAATATGAGAATCCGAACTCAAACCCATTTTAGCAATCAGCCCATGGATCTGTTTCGCTTGAAGGGTGAGATTCAAACGGACACAGCACTTGAGTACAAAGGGGAAAGTGAATTTATCAGGTCCAGGAATGTTATGGAACGGTCCATGGAGCATCAAGAGGAAAAGAGAAAGAGCTTGCGAGGGATGGGACGGGTCAGAGCTCCGAGAGTAAGCTCGGATGACGGTGTTGTAGAAGTAAGAGTTCAAGGAAGGGTTGGATTTGAGGATGAGACGAGCGTGGTTGAGATCTCCAGCAGGTGAGAGGGCGGCGAAAGTGAAGACATTGGACAGAATTTTATGGGATTCGCTGGTCGGCGAGTTTCCTAGTTTCAGAACTTGCGCATGAAGTTGCAGAGCTTGGGACATGGTTTTGACCTCCATTTTTGAGCATGGCACTACATTGCCATATCTTACACAGTGGAGTGGCGCGCGAGCATATCAGCAACTCTGCAAAAATACCGGCGGTCAATTTATGAAGTTCTAATTTTCCTTTTATACTAAACTAATTTTAATTAGTTTCATTTGTTTCTTTTTTTTTAACCACTTTCATTGGTTTCAAGAAAATAGTTTATACATCCTTTAATTATATATATAAATATAAACATAAAAGAATGGAGAGAGTTCACAAGTATGAAATATCATATATCTACATTGTTTTCAATTTTATTTTTCATAATGAGTGAATGAAATATAGTTATATAAAAATTAAATATACTTTTCTTAACTTACACAAATATATATATATATATATATTCATTTATTTTTAACCCTAAATAATTATTGAAAATAACAAAAGATTATAGACGTTTAGCTGATCTTTCCAATTTTATCATCAGATGTCCCTACAAGGACCGGGTTGGCTCATTATTAACATGCGATCACAATTTTTTGGGGGCGAAAGAACAAGTTGCAATGAAATGATTAATGTCAATATATTTATAAAAATCACAGAAATCACTTAACCTTTACAACTTTGTCATTTTTGAAATTTTTGTTCGGACACTATACACATAAAGACAAACTTTTCTGGGAGGATTAAAAAGGAAGACCGCTAAAAATGGGGTCCGCTATTGAATCAATCGAAATCATAAATTCAACCGAAGCTTAATCTGGAATTAGATTAATCATAATAAAATAATATAATTTAAATAAAAACATAAGAGTTACATTTAAATTCAGAGTTAAATTGATTATAATAAAGTAATATAATTTGTTGTAATTATTAGAGTCATATAAATGTTCATCTCCCTCACCCTTTCATCTTCTTCCATGAAACTATCGCTATTTGATTAATGTTAGTTGTCATTTATTTTTAATTATCATTTGGGTAATTCTTAATGTAAGATTACGTCTATAAATAAGGTATGTTATTTGTATTGTAAAGAATGGAAAAAAATACATGATAAATTATTCTTATTTCTATTACTTATATTCTTTCTTCATCTTCTCTTCTTTTTTCCCATTTATAGTCTATATATTTTATTTATAACACGTTATCAGCATGAGTATCTAATGAATTTGCATAAGGCATAAACTTCAAAGTTCCTCGCTAATTATTGAAGGTTCTTATTTATCATATAAAGGTATGATATTTTGATTCTATTATTAATTTCTATTATTCTTATATTTCATGTCTTCACATTTAAATATTCAATTTTTATTTACGTGATTATCAATTTAATAATTATTTATGACTCTAATAAAAAAGAATTAAATAAGTGTTAATAGATGACCGACAGAGCCACATCATATTCATCTTGGGATTAAATGGCCAAAAGCCATATAGCTTTTGATTTTGGAGGAGATTATTAAGGGTTTATTGGTAATTTAATTATTTGATGGCTATAAATAATATAGCCTTAAAGGCTAATGGTTTAAATATTTCATATCATGAGAAGCGTTAATGAATTTGAAAATTACTTTTATTGTGATTGATGAAATTGATATAATATTAACAAATATGAAAGATAGACAAATTTAACTTGCTTATGAGCAAGATAATAACCATATATGTTGTGGACAAATTGACTATTAAAATTTGAAAGTCAATAATGATTAATCATACATATTGGAATTGAAAAAGATGGATTGCCATGATTGTTAAGATAATGATACTTTTACTTAATCATTGAAATAAAAATTGTGACTAAATGTTACAACTTATTGTTACAAGTACCATAGTCTTAAAGACTAAATGTTACAACTTATTGTCACAAATACCATATTCTTAAAGATTAAATGTCCACATCAATTGTTTATAATGATTTTCTTGTAAAAGATCATTTTATAGTTTCAATAAATAGCATAACAAAAAAAATTCATTGTATTTTGATGATGAGAGTAAGGTTAAAAGTATTATAGCTCTAAAGGTTGATTATTTAAGCATCAAAGAATATGAAAAATTTGCATAAATTTGAATTGCTATAGTATTGAAGACTAATATTTAACGAAATTTATTATGTGCTATTGAAAGCATGACCAAATATTTGGAGATATGATAGCATGTCATTATAAAAATTAATAAGCCAACAATACTTTATCCCAACTACTGAAAAGATATTGTCTAGCTATAGTTGTTGAAAAATAATGTTTTTATATACGCTGACATAAAATTACAAGGGATATTATATTACAATATGGCTATAAGTCTAATAGACAAATATGTATGAGTAATTTATTGAAAGTAAATGTCCAAATTGATTATGAAGCCAAAAGGGAAATGAGATATTAATAAATGTAGAGTAATTATAAAATTATCAAAGCCACATGTTGTAATCTAAAAAATTATATGGACAAGTTTTTGTTGGGAAAATGAAAAGTAATGACAAGCTTAGAATGTTATATCATGTTAAATTTAAACGGATATATGATATTCAAGATTAAAAGACTATATCTAAAAACTTATATGGTGTTCAATTGTTATTAGTGTTTAAATATAGTGCCATTAATTTCTCAAGAATTTATTATAAATATTTGATATTGATTTAATCTTAATGTAAAATTAAAGAAAATATCAAGAATCACTGCAAACAAGCGTAAACTTGTATTTATATTTCTAGTTTATTATATTGAATATTGTATAATTTGTAAATTAATTTGTATTGAAATATGTCAGTTTTTGAATAAATTAATTATTCTAAAACTAAAATGGATGTCTCTCATTTATGGTTTATCAAAGATTGATTGGTTAAGAATTTGAATAAATAGCTTAATTGAAAAATTGAAAAATTAAAATTCACAAATTTGTGTGAGTTGAGAATTACTCAAGTTTTCTAATGAAAGGTAAGTTATTGGTTTACTATATACAAGCCGCTGTCTTCAAAATGCAATAATAGAAAAATCATGTTCATGTAACTTCCACTTGAAGGGAGATTGTAGGGGCACAATATAATTATTGTGTATCACTCATATACTTATTCTCAAGGTTTAATAGATTCCTCTAATGGATGCATATTGATATTATAAAACAACTACATGTTATAAAAAATGAAAAGTTTATAGTTGATTTTCATTAAAGTAAAACAGAAGTTTACTAATCTACCACATATATTTTTAGCATAACTTATTTGATCATTTCAAATCATATATAATGCAAATAGTTATTAAGGATATACATTGACATTCATTGAAAAAATAGAAGATTTTTTGTGAATAGAAAACATGTTATGTGCTTTAAGATTTTATATGTGCCACTTGTTCTTAAAAAAAATATAAAGTATTCACTAGTTATAATCTATCCATTTTTGAAAATATAATAAATTCAAATGTATGGGCCCATTAGATAGCATGTGAATGGTGTAAATCTACAATATATTTTTGCAACTTGAAGTTTGCAAGAGTATATGCATAAATCATTATGTAAAAGATACAATTTTCAAACTATGTGATACAGATCATTTTAATTGAGAATGCTAGTGAATTTATATTTCAAACTTTGAAAAAGAATATTCAAAAGATGATCTGGTGAAATCATTCGTTAAAAACTCCTTTACAAATAGCTAGATCAATGCTTATGAGAACAAAATTTTCACTGTTAATTTAGAATATTTGATTTTACAAACTATAAAACAATGTATATTAAACCAATAGGGCACTGTAAATTCCCCTTTTGAAATTAGCTTTTGGTCATAAGCCAAGTATATGCCATCTTAGAATGTTTTACTATGCAATACTTATTATCATTGTTTCGTCACACTACACATAGATGGTTATTCATGGAAAGTTGAGATAAATGTTAGATAAGAATTTCCTCCTTCTTGTTTGTTTTTAAATAAAATGAAGAAGTATTAATAAAGAAAACAAATGAATTTAAGAGACTTGTAGTGTATGATTAACTTGTTGTTATCATTTGATAAAGTTTTCTCAACATAAGAGGGAGAAAATAAGTAGCTAGAAAAGAAAATATATCAAATACATTATCACTATATCTTATTTAGATCCTCACATATAAAAATATGTACCATGAGTTCATCAAATGCTACATTTCTAAAATATCACAAAAGAATATGCCAAATACAATCATTGGCTTATATGAGAATTACTAGATTTTTTGTTTCAGCTATAAATGCTTCAATTAGAGTAAATGAAAATGAGATATGCATGAAGCATGAGAAAAGATTTAGGTATTTAAAAATAATAAAGAGATATCTCTATTAGTTATGTCACAGTTGGAAGAATGGAATCAAACAGATAAAGTTATCAATAACAATTTTAATAATAATACCACGTGATTAAATGAGGATCTTATATACAAATTTGTTATAAAAAGTGGACAAACAATAATTAGCCAAATAGAAAAAGACAAAAGAAAATAAGCAATGCAAGTAGAATTATATTCATTTTTTATATGTGAAAATCATAGGCATGCAGTCCAAATGCCAAAAGTGTAAAGTTATTAAGAAATAAATGAACACTAATGTGAAAATAAGGATTTCACAAAGGTTTGATAATAATCAAATACATTATCTTGTGGTAGATTTATGTATATTTCATTAGTTTGGAAGCATATAAAATCAAAATATGATGCTTGTCTATTGGATATTATTATAGCCTATGCATATTACACACTACATAATGAAATTTACATGATAAGCTTTTGAAAGAATTAAAATGCCAAAAGCATGAAAAATTCCTAGAAAAATTATTCAACATATATAGATGTTATATTCTTAAGCTTGTATGAATTTCAAATAGTTCAAGTGTATGTGTGTATATCTTAGCAAATACGTTTTGAAAAATAATAGGTTTTGTTCAAAAGAATTTGAGAATAAAATTTTGATATTGACTTTACATTCAACTAATTAATTTAATATTTAATACCTAATGGTTATAAAATTATTATGTTATATTTATTTAGTCTGCAAGACTATATTGAATTAATTGATCATGAAGTATCATATATTTATAAATATTTATATATTGAGTTAATATTGTATAATTTTATTAACAAATTTGAGCTCCTAGTGAATTAATAGATTTGAAAAAAGAGATATGATATTTTGAGGACAGTGTTATATTTTGAAAATATGATACAAGAATATATTTTCAAAAAGTTATATATAAAAAAATAATGCATTAGGCATAGTTGAGTTGGAAGTAAGATTTGCCTGAAAAAATATTGATATCAGTTATATTTAAAAAATTAATATATTATTTTAAAGTACGATAATTTAAAAGTAATGTTATTATAAAAGGGAATAAATACGTGCTGTACTTTTTTTTAAATTAAGGTTTTGTTTCATTAGATTTTTCTAATGAATTTTTTAATAAGACAACATTGGATAACATATAAATGAATGATGTATTTTTTTTTTCTTTTGCTAGGTTTTCATCCCACAAGTTTTTTCCTAATTAAAATTTTTAATAAGGTATATTATTATATAATGAACATTTAAGGAGAGTGTTATGAATAACAAGAATTATGCCAATGTTCATCTCCCTTATCCTTCAATTTTCTCCCATGAAACTTTTATCATTTGATAAGTGTTAATTACTTTTTATTTTTTATTATTATTTATGTAACCTTTAATATAAGATCATACTTGTAAATAGAAAATGTTAATTATATTATAAAAAAATAAAAGAGAATATAAGAAAAGTTATTCTCGTCTCTTTGTATTGCTTATATTTTTCTTCACCTTCTCTTATTTCTTTTCATTTATATTCTTTATACTTTATCCATAACATAATTTAAATATTCATCAATATTTAAGATTTAATATCTCAAGTATCATTGAAACATCAGAAAAACCACAGTAACATTTCAAACATTTATCTCAAGATTCTTCAATCATCAGAAAAATCTCATTGTCTAATAATCATCAACACCAAGCATAGTAACATTACGACTGCGGGGATTACTGGAATTGGGGGTGGAATTATTGGAGTATAAAACACTTTTAAGTATAACAACAGTCACCAATCAGGCAGAGCAGAGTAACACGAATGAGCAGAGTAATATTATCATCATAGAGTGATTTTCAGGCATTCAAATCACCAAGCAGGAACACGTATGAGCAAAAATGATCAGGCAGAGGCCGCAGAGCAGAGTAACAAACTAACAATCACCAAGCAGAAATAGGGGAGAGTGAGGGGGAGGGAGACCACAAACCCAAGCAGTGTTGTCGACCACTTGAAAGTTGAGCACGAGCAGCGTTCACAGGAGACTTGACAGCAAGGTGGACTGAGAATGGCGAAGGAAGGAGAGAGGACAGAACTGAGAACGGCGACGGCGAGAGCCGAGAAGCCGAGAACGATGGTCGCTGTCGAGAAGCTGAAGCAGAGGAACTGGGAAAGAAGGGCTTCTATTTTCTTTTTCATGTTTTTTTTTTTTAATTTCTGAACCCACGAGTTAAAAAAATCCACCCCGAGTTAACTTGGTCAAAATGAAACAGCAAAACCAAACCAAACACATGGTCAGTTCACCAGTTCAACCGGTTTTAAAAACCACGAGGAAGACATTACTTTTTTAGGCCGTAACCAAGAACGATGCAAATATGAATTTTGTCTATTTATTTCTGAAATATTTGTTGTGACAAATTATAATAAATAGTAATACTAGAAATCATTCAGTTTAATTTCATTCGTGGCTGGTTTCTGGAATTCTGGGTAATTATTAATTAATGTTGGGCTTTGCGAACGTCTCTTATTCTCTGTAATTTCCCAGGTTGAAATCTTCCCCGGAAATCGACAATTTCTTGAGGCTTTTACCATTTATCACATTTCGATTCAAAGTGCATGCGCATCGAATCGTGGTCATGACTGGGTGATTGCGTTCTTATAAATTACTATTAGAGATTTAATTGTGATTCGGTTATTAAGCTATGGTGAAGGACACTACGTACTACGATACATTGGATGTCCAAGTTGATGCGTCCCCTGCAGAGATCAAGAAGGCCTATTATGTCAAGGTAATCCTCCTTCCTCTGCACTTAATATGATTCCCTTCTGATCTCTGAAAGTAGAAACGGGCTCTGAACTTACATTTGACGATGCTTCTGAATTTAGTTTACTCAATTTGGTGATTATATTTTGGATTAATCAGAAAAGCGTGATGTGAGCTTTTAGTTTTTACCATTGGATTTCTTTGATTTGATCTTGACGCCCCTGAATGTGTTAGATGATTGTGTTTTCAACTGAATCACGTATCATTTAATTAGAACGGTCTCTTGAACTTGCTTAGTGATCTTATTCCTCATACAAATGCGTTAGTCAGACAATACCAAGAACAAGTTTGGTTTCATATTGGAATTTCCGAGTCGATACCAAATGCATATGTAGTTAATTAATGACATGGTATATATGAACCTATAGTATTATTCTCATCATTGAGTTAGGCTGCCGTGAGAGCTTGTCTTGCATACATTTTTCAGGCAAGGTTAGTTCACCCAGATAAGAATCCTGGAGATCCCACAGCTGCCAAAAATTTTCAGGTAAGCATCTCGAGGAATGAAAGCTATGATGCAGATTTTGGATTCATTGCCATTCATGACATAAGTGCCTTAACACAATGAAGGATTATTATTCCTGGTTTGCGTCCGAACATATACCTTCTTTTATCATCAGCTTTTCTTCCTTCAGTTGTCCTGGTTCTAAAAAATTAAAAGGTCAAGACATACATCCCTTGTGTTTTCTCTTTATGCACAGCAACTTGGTGAGGCATACCAGGTCTTGAGTGATCCTACAAAGCGTGAAGCGTATGATAAGAATGGAAAGTCAGGAGTACCACCGTAAGTTTACATGCAACCTCATATAACTGAAAAAAGAAGTTCAAATCTTTAGTTATGATCTCCATCATTTCATGAAATTCTGCAGTTGAAGTCTTATTAGAAGTCATAATTTTAGAATACTACTGCTTATATATTTTCCTGTTGTCACTTTTTCAGACCTTGTCTTGCTAAACCCATTACGTGCTTCAGGATTTAGTGTTTATCTGTCTACTTGAGCAAACGTCCATAATATATACTGAACTTTTTGGTTGGCAGAGAGTCCATGTTAGACCCTACAGCTGTATTTGGAATGTTGTTTGGGAGTGAATGCTTTGAAGAATATATCGGGCAACTTGCATTGGCTTCACTGGCATCTATAGAAGTTGAGGAAGACCTACAGGACCCTGAAGTTCGTAAGCTGATAATTCAAGAGAAGATAAAAGTACACTTCTTCGGTCTCTCTGATCTCTCATGTCTGATACAGTTTCAGCTTCCCACGTGATTTCCTCTCACTCATAGCTGAACTGCTGTAATTTGGATCTGCAGGCATGGCAGAAAGATAGGGAAGAAAAGCTTATAACTGCTCTTATACATCACCTCCAACTATTTGTTGATGGTCAAACAGAAGAATTTACAACATGGGCAAATTCAGAAGCATCCCAACGTTCACAAGCCGGTACTCACTCACTTTATATTCTTCTCTCTTGGTAGGTAGATATAGAAATAGAGAATCACATAAAAAAAAAAATTATGGATGAAAAAGTGTCCCTTCGGTATACATTACTGCCGAATGAGGACAACAAATTGATTGTCGGTGCAAAGAAAACGAAATAAATTTTCAGTTTTGCTAACCAAATGGGGCATACTATCAATGGAGTTTTGAAGATGATCCAGGTAATTTGGAGATTCGAGTTTTTGGTATTATGACATGCTTGATTTGATTATTTAAAATAAAAAAGGAATGGATTTTTTCCAATATAAAATTTTTATCCCTTTAAATTTTAATGTATTTTTTTAAAACAAACAGAGTACAGGAATCATTTTCATCCTCAAGTTTCTTTTATTCCATTTTTCATACCAAGGCCCTTATTCATTATGAAGTTTTTTCTATTTTCTGTGCCAAAATGTGTCTTTTCAGTTATCAATCATAGAAGGGCCTGATTGGCTAAAAAAAATCATAGAACTTCCTGGTGAGAACAGTCCTAGTCTTTTTTGCTATAAATGCTTCTCAATTTGATTAATCAAAATTCTGTTTCAAAGCTAAAATAAGTACTATGTCGCCATTTTCTGGTGCAATATAAGGTTTGACTTTATTTCATTCACAAAAAAAAAAACAATTGAATTTCGAAACTGTAAGACTTATGAATACAACATGTCATAATTTACCAATATGCAGAATATTTAAATATGTCTCTTGTGTGAGAGTATGATACTAATGTCACTTGAAAAAAGATGTCTTTTCTAAGAATATCATGTCTTAATTGTAAAATCATATAATTTTCATTTACTGCTATATTCCATAGTATTTCAGTCTGACAGTTCTAATTTTCCTTCTGAATACTAATTCCTTTGGATTAATTCTTCTATTTCCCTAGTCCCTATTTTCGACAATTTTTTTTTTGGGTGAAGTTTTTGTTAAATGTTAGCAATAATCTCAGAATAGTAAGAAATTGTTAACATTCGCTAAAAGGAAAAAAAAAATAAAAATAAAAGAAATTGAAACAAATTGCCCTTTTTGGGGCGAAGAACTTCCTTTAATTATAAATGTATGTATTAAGGTTCTTTACATGGGATTTATTTATTAACTAATACATGACACTAAATATCTGATCTCCAGCTTTTGGAGAGGCCATGCTGCACACAATTGGGTATATCTACACGCGAAAAGCTGCAAAAGAAATTGGAAGGGGTAACCGATATATGAGAGTACCTTTTTTAGCAGAGTGGGTAAGAGACAAAGGACACAAGATCAAGTCACAGGTCATGGCTGCTTCAGGTACCCGACTAGACTGTGTATTTAGATATTTAATCTGAACAAGGATTGATGGATTAATTGGAGGCTTCATGATGTTGGAATGTTTTTAATGAAACTGATATGTTTATTACGCATATGCATATACTTGGGAATTGGGAAATAGGAGCTGTGAACTTGATTCAAATCCAAGAAGAGCTGAAGAAGCTAAACCAAGGAGGAGAAAACAAAGATGAAAACTTGGAAAAAGCTATAGAAGATAAGAAGGATGCCATGATTCATTCCCTTTGGCAGATCAACGTGGTTGATATTGAAACAACTCTCTCACATGTCTGCCTCGCTGTAAGTCTTCTTAGCATTTCCTTCCTGTAGCTTAATTGATAGAAGCATGATATTGCCCAACAGTTAAGAAATATTACAGTTTTTGCCAACTTGAATGCCAAAATCTTCGAAGCCACAACATATCTTTACACCCTTTACTTTTATATACATTTCCCTTTTTTTTCCCCTATATCCTTCTCTGAATATTACTTGCTAGACTTCTAAAAGATGATACTTTACTTGTTTCTGGCTCAGGTTCTTAGAGATCCTGGTGCCAGCAAAGATGCTTTAAGGCTAAGGGCTAGAGGCCTGAAAAAGTTAGGAACCATTTTCCAAGTAAGTGGTGCTAATTAATTAATCATCTTTTGCTCTTGATTTGTTGGTATTTGATTATCAAGAAAGAATCAATTAATCATTTAGTTTTATCATGTGCAGGGTGCTAAGGCTGCATATGTCAGAGAAAACAGTCTACGCAATGAAACTGACCCAAAGAATCAAAATGACCAAAAAACAGCCGCTGCTTCTTCATCATAGTTTTATATGTTGTGAATTCTTTTGTTAGTTTAATTTTTCTATTGAGCTATGAAACATGTCATTCCAAGGGGGAAAGTTCACAAATATATAATTCGACATGTACATGGGACTAACCTCTCATGTTTAATTAGTATATATATATATATATATATTTTTTTCGTTGGCTCATGTCTCATGATCAGAATATTCACACTACATACAAGCTGAACTCAAATCTTCCCGGTTCTTGATTGCTACGAACATGGATTTACTTACGACAAAATCAAGATATTGTATTTTGTTGACATGATTTGTTTTATTATTTTTTAATGTTCATTTCGGATCCGGCATGTGTATTTTTCTTTTTAAAAATTAAGACTGGCAACTAATGCATGATTTTTTTTTTGAGCAAAGGCAATTAATGCATGATTATTATTATTTTTTAACATTAAGAGGGTTTGAACCCTTAAACTCGGTAAGTGAACTCTTTTAAATGTAAATATTTTTTTAAGGGATTAGCACTCTTACCGTGGAAGAACACTTTTTTTTTTTGAAATAATAATAATAATAATGTTAAGCTATAAGGTTCATTAAAATTATTTCATGTTATGATTAAGATGGTTGGTTATGATTAGAGACAATTTTTTTTTGTTTTTTTTTCCTAGTAATCTCTGCCAATAATGGAAACTAATATCTTTTAACAGTGAGAATATTAAAGGCAAATAGTAATAACCACAAGAGTCTTCTACTATTTACATCAACTTAAATTGGTAAAAGAGATGCCTTTTTCATCATTCTAGAAATGTTTTGTAATCAATTCATTGTTGAAATGAGCAAAGTTACCTAAAAATGATAGAAAACTGAATGCATCTTTAATAATGGTTTAGAAGAAATCCCAATGGATGAAGCAAATTAAACAACTTGACATGTGTTTTCATGATAATGATAAGAAAGGAGGACGTCCACTTGGAAGTACAATGTGATAAAGTCACAATTAATATATCATAAAAATCACACAAAGAAGATCGATCATATCCCAAAAAGTGGAGTAAAGATTCCAAGTGCATCATACTGATGCCAAACAGCCATAGCCTTATCTTACATTAGATGGACTTTGAGACTTTATTCTCAAGAGAATAGTATATCTATCTTGCCATAAATTTCATATGTTAACTGATTATATATATCGATAGATGGTTCAAAAGCTTTTAATTTATTTTTATATATAGCTATTTGATTAGATCGGTTCAAGTATTATCAACTTCAATTACAGGTAACTTTTCAAAAACCTTTTTTTTTCCACACAAAGAACTTGAATCCGAGAAATCTTATGCTTAAGTACTTCGCATAGTCCCTTACTCTAGAACCAAACGCTTGTTGGTGAAAGATTTTAATTTCTAAAGTATATATATACTACATGGAATTTGAATTCGAAAAGTTAAGCTTTCTAGTAATGTGTGTGTGTGTGTTATTTTGCAGGGATGACATCGAACTTGTAATTCTGGGCAATCGTTGAAGTGCACATGATGATATTTGTTGTGTACAGCAATCCACTTGTTAGAATATATTCCTTCCATTTGTATTACAGGAAAAATTATAACATGCTTCATTGTTTTTTAAGGTAATATTTAAGAAACATTTATTATATTTTTCCAAGCTGCTTTTCATAAAGTTAAAGTTTATTTTCACAAGACAAATTCAATTCTTTTACATGCTAAAGATTAATTATAAACATGCCCAAGACAAGTTTAGACTGCAAATCCTAACACGTCTAGACTTGCCCCTGGCAAGTCCCGAAATGCCAAAAATGTCCTCTCCATAAAATAAAATATACACATTGCATTTGTAATTTTTTGATTTTACTAATTTAAATTCATCTCTCTTGATATGTTTGGTGGTCCGGCTGTTGGAGCCACTCCCTTGTGGCAGCACATGACGATTACACTCTTTGGAGTAATAAAAAAATCTTAAAAAATTCTATGATCATCAAAAAATTATAAAACTTTATAAATTTTATCCCGATATCATCTCAAGGAAGTTTGGAAAAAAAATGTGTGAATCGGAGACTTCCATGCCCTTAAATTGAGCATTGTGATCTCACAAAAAAAAAGTTTGTTAATGTTAGAATTAAATTTGCTCATATTACTTTTTGGAGGGAATACCCTACCACACCAAGGGGATTCTTAGGGTTACACAAAGGACAAACTGAACAGAACTTCAGTCTAAACCGAAATTTGGTCCTTTTTATAAAAAGAACTAAGTTAGGCAATTCATAGATTAATTTGGTCTTGGTATAAACTTGAAGCTGAATAGGATTGGATTGGTCTAGTAGAACTAGAATACTAGTTCCAATCTTGCCCAGTATTTCACTTTGTTCTTTTCTTTTTAATCTATGAGGGGTAATAATTTATTTTAACCTAATAAACTCAATTAACATAATAAAATTACTTATAGTCATATAAAATTTATTACAACAATAACAATTATAAATTCATAACAATCTCTAATGACAACGAATAGTATTTCAGTTATAACACAAAGGATTCAAATTAAATAACTTTTAATAATATTAAACAACATTTAACATATCTAAAATTCATTACACCAAATTAATAACAAATTTACTAATAAAACAAAAAGATTGAGGTTGATCGATGTTGATATTTTGCTCAATATCCGTAACTTTACAAATATAAAACACAATAAATTACTAATCATCATTATGGATTAACTAATTATAATAATTAATAAATTAATTATAATTATATTAAATAAATTTATAAGATCGGAGCGGATCGGACCAAATGGTCTAAATGTTCGATTTCTTATCCAGTCCAAACTAAAAAAAGAGTTTGTTCTTTTTTATCCTGATAATTTAAATTCGATTGGGTTGTTTTGGGTTGAACTGGACTAAACTAAAAAACTTTTATATAGTCCTAAGATGCTTGATCCTTAATGGTGAGAGGAGGCACCCTATGCAAGATTCAATTGTAAGGGTGACCCTATGCCTAAAGGCAGTGGGACGCCTTAAACTTAATTATAATGCTTAGCTAATTTTTTTAAGTTGTGTGGGTTTTTTGAAATTTGGCTCCATTTAAATAGGGATGGAATATAACTAAACAGTTTAAGAGATTCGCAAATTAAATTTTCACTTTTACATTATTACATCTAAGAAATAAGGCCACTTCTTATTACAGCTTCGAGTACATTTCTTACACACACACGCATTGTTGATTGTCTGAATGCTATCTTTTCCTGTCTCTCTTTTCCAACATCCAAGTGTGTCCATCGGAGCACCACTTCCATTAACGTGGTCTGTCGTCGTGGTGGACTGCCAAACAGTGAATATGAAAGATAAGAAGAAAAAACATATTCTCATATCCCACACAAACAATATAAATACAAATTTTTTTTTATAATATTACTCTGAAATTTCTTGTCATTTATTCAAGTTTTCAATTATTGCAGGATAGCTGTTAATATTATTATTATTTCATTATCAACAAAACAACTCTACCAGCAATTACTATACAGCAGCATTGATAACTTCAGTAAAAGGTATGAGACTTTTGAGCAATTTTGTGATTTAATGAAATGTTTCTATATTTAAATTGTTTGTGTGTGTGAGTTAAAATTAATTTTGCAAGATAATAATATCTTCCCATCCTCGCTTGAGATTCACAAATTTAGGCAAAGTAGAAAAGACAAAAATAAGATGTAACTGCGTCTGGTACTGGGATTATCGCACCATTTTCTTTCTCATCAATCTATTATCATATGATTTTGCACTATGACTTTTTTCGTTTTATTAAGTTTGATAGAAGCATCACCAGTGCGAGACTAGTGTTAGAGTGGTGTGAAGATGATCAAGTTAATTAATGATTGAGTTGAAAGAATTGTGTATATATATAGAGAGAGAGGGGGGGGGGGATAACGATTCTTCAAGGAAGGGATCGATCGAGCAGAACAGCGATCCCAGAACCACTTTGGCAGAAAGAAGGGGTAAAAGATAAAGAGCATATCTACATATTTAATGTATAATTAAATATTTTAAACCTCACGCAATGCTTTTCTTTATTCTCCACCAATGTCATTTCGTTCGTTATCCCTCTCTCTTCAAGGATTATTGATGCCACTAGTCATTCCCAAATGTTACTATTCTATGTCTCTTTTTCAGCCTAATCATGCAAGTCCTTACCTATATCTCCATCTCCACCTATATCTCTCTGCATGAAAATTATATTATCCTATCGATGTGATTAATATAATTTAATTAGACTTGGAATTAGATTATAAAAAAAGTTAATCGGGTGAGTTAATTAGGAACAATTATGTACTTATGTATGTGAGGTATGCATATAATTCTCTCACTCTCTCTCACAGAGTACAGAGAGAGACATGTATTTCATTTAATTTGTAGTAACCAAAGGTAATGAATACGAGTAAACATGTAACTATTTAAAAAGGAATTTTGATTCAAAAAATATATATAATATAACTTTGTGACTAATTCGATTTAGCAATTTATGTTTTGCCTCTAAGCTTTAACTATAAAATTTTCTGCTCTTAAGTCGTGATGAGAAATTATGCAAGTGGTTCGATCAATCAGTTGATTAATTAATTGGTCTTCCGGGATATGCATGTCAAAGAGTGAAAGTCGTTTGGTACAAATTAAAATAATATAATAAGAGTTAGGTATGGTAGAAAATATAATTCTGTTGTAAAGCACGCCCAGAGGAAACTCCAATAATTTTCCACTAAGGGGTCAGATTTCAATTAGGATTAATTAATTAATTAAGTTTATGGCATTCCACTAACTTCACAGACTTAGTGCCCCAACAAAGGGAAAGTGGCCTCCTTTTACCTTTTTGTGTTTGAATTCATTGCTCTAGAGCAGAAAGTTTGGTTTCTTTATTATAACTGTCAATTTCTTCAATTCTCTCTTCCACACCACACCACTATCTCTAGCCAAATTTATAGTTTCCTGCAATATACAGACAGTGAAGCATCTCATATCTGAGAGATAATGGCTAGTCTCGTGCTTCTCAAGAAGTTCACCATCTTTCTGCTCATTTCTGTCTCCCTTTTCACTGCTACTTTTGCAGGTCGGTGTGAGTGAGTGAGTGTGTGTGTGTGTGTTTAGATCTTCTCTCTTGATGAGGACTTTTTTGTTCGGTGCCAAACCCTAGCTAGTCACGATGTCAGAGTCAGAGACAGCTAGCTTTTACTATGTGCTTGCATGTGGAAATAATTAAACTTGTTCTGCTTCCATCCTTTGATTTTGCTCCTTTCTATGCATAAGTGCAAAGCACATGCATGTGAACTTTCTTCACTCTTTGATACTTGATATAAATATATGTGTATGCATGTTTCATCCGTAAACCATATATATAAGGCTCTCAGCTTTGATGTGCTTCATGGATTTGCAGGTCGAAGAACAAAGTTTGTCAGTAAGTTGGTTGCGGATGTGGATGTTCAAGAAAAGGTAATCAAGAGCCTGAACCATGCTTAATATATTATATTATATTATATATTGATTAATCAGTTAATGTTTTTCTGTCTCGATCACTGTGTGTAAATGTTCTGATATATGTTTGTGGTTCGAGAACGAGCAAGAAAACCCACAAGAGTCTGTCAACATTGCCATCATCATCATCATCAACCTCTTAATGCATGTCACCACACACACACACACATATTCGAATTCACGCAAGCTAGAACAGTTACAGTGACGTTTAAAACAAAAGGACAGTCTTTAGAAATGATTGTGAAGGATATATATATATATATATTTTGTGACACAACCACAGTACACAAGAGTGATGATATATATGCCTCTCATACTTTAAATTTGAGGCGTGGCACTATATAACAGTATGGCGCATATATAAATCATGAGCAATCAATACCGTATATATAGCTGTAGTGAAAAAAGTAAACAGATTGATCAGATAGATATGAAATATGATAAATGATATTGAAGATTTCAAGCATGCATGTGTAATGAAATGCATTTGGTGTACGTAGGGAAAGGAAGAAGAGAGCGTGATACATGAGAGGGTGCTGAGGGCAAATGCAAGAGACTATGGAAGATACGATCCATCTCCAACTCTTTCAAAGCCTCCTTCCAAGCTCATTCCTAATTAATTGACTTCTCGCTTCGATCATATACTACTGGGATCATGTCATCATCCATATATATCATAAATAATCCATCCCTAGCTATTATCTATATAATATATATACTAGTTATCATGAGGTGTATCGTACCTTTTATCATGTTTGGAGCCCTAACATTTTAGTCATATAAATATATATGTATATAGAGAGGCATGTGTTGTAATTTAAGTTTTGTGGTATGATTTGTATATTTAGATATAAAATACCTCTCATGCCTAGAAATTAAAAAATAGATCATAAATATATGAAATTTGAGATGTGTTTAACTAAACATTTTAAATTATTTTGACAAAGTGAATTGTTATTGAACATATTTAATATAAAGAATATAACATTATGCATGCTTTAAAATAATTTTCCATCTTAATTTAAAGAAGACGACAGTATATACATGATATCGACAACATGATGACTCCATTTTTTTCCCATGTTTGAGCGGATTCTTGACAAGAAGGAAAAATAAACCTTATATAAATAAATAAATAAATAAATATATATATATATATATATATATATAGTTCTGACTTCTGAGCGTTGGACATGAACTTATGTTTGTCCAGATAATTCAATGCTTCCGCTTGGTTACATGCATCATAAAGTAATGTGATGTTAAAGCACTTAAATTAGGGCTAGTTTGTTAATAATATATATAGTATGTATAAATATTAATGGTACATAATCAACTTGTTTATAGAGGGATGAAAAAAAAAAGTCACTCGATGAGACTATGCGGTAACTGTGAGGTGGGTGTAGGAAGAAATATTGTTTATATTGTTTAAGATTCAAATCCTTTTAATACAGAAAAAAGGCCCACAAATATACTTAAAAAGGCCAACCTGCGATGGTTAATTGCTTGAATGGCAGGACTCAATTTTTTTTAAAAAAAATTACAGACAAGATCCCATATAAAAAAATTAATTATCGCAAGATTTATTAACAACTAAAATAAAGAAGAACAACTGATATAAGGCCATTTTCTTATGTCAATTATTAATAAACCTTGTGGTAGTTAATTTTTTTATGTAAGACTTCAAATTAATTCTTCCTTCTTTTTAGGTAAGATTTATTAAAAACTAACATAAAGAAGAACAACTGATATAAGGCCATTTCTTTATGTCAATTATTAATAAATCTTGTGGTAGTTAATTTTTTTATGTGAGACTTCAAATTAATTCTTCCTTCTTTTTAAGTAAGGTAAAAATGGCTCAAATCTTGTAGATGAAAAAAAAAATCATGTGATAGGAAATATCTTATAATACTTAAATCTAATTAACTTGTTAGTATTTGATACCATATAACTATATTAAAAAATATGAAGAAAAACTTCCGCTTATATCATATAATTGAGATGTAATATTTTCAATAAAAAATTTTATCAAATTAAATGATCATGTTACGTTCTAAAGCAATATGTCATTGTCTTTTTTGATAGCAGAAGCAATATAATATATGTTTATTAGAATATAGGAATTGATTGTTGTTAAAATGAAATATAGATTTGTTTTTTTTCTAATAAATGAGAACTTGTTATTAATTCTTGTTTATAAATAATAGAATAGTTGGGCCTCACGTTACATTACTTCTTTTGGTTTTGGACTTGCTTCGGTCCTTTGAAGTCTGGATAATCACTTCCTTGGATTCCAATATTTTTTATATATATAAAACAAAAAAGGTGGGTGAATATTTAATCCCATCCAAATTGCTTCTAAATAATATGGCAACTTGATTGCTTAAGCACAGTATCAAATTTTAGTGTATATGAATATAAAAAACATATTTAAAAAGGCTGTTTTCAATTATGTCGGATAATATTCCAATCTGAAACAATCAGATAAATATACAAAAAAATTATCATTTACCAAAAATAACACAATCAGATTAATTGATTGATATTGAGGATATTCATATTTATTATTATATTTATCTAAAATAATTTTAAGATGCAAAAAAATAAGACAAATAATTTTAAGATAAAATATAAAATAAATTTCAAAAATAAAGCCAAATAAAATTATAAATATTAAATTAATTAAAGATTGAAATCAAAATAAATGAAATTAAAACAAAAGGAGAGAAAAAATTAAAACATAGTCAAATTAACATGTGTTTGCTGAAAAATTATTTTCTTGTCATTTTTCCCTTATCAAATGTGTAATGTGTGTTTGTTGATTGTTGGGGGGAAAAATCAGTTGCGTTTTGACTTCTCGAAGTGTGGCATCTATAGCCTAAACCACTCTTATCACTACCCAACTATTGTGAGATTGGAAACGTCTTCAATCTTGATCGTCAAATACTCATTTTCTGGGCCAAGTTAAGAATTTCTTTTGAGTTTTTGAGTTTTTTTAATAAATTAATTAAGACAACGTGGGTCTCGTGAATTGTTTTAAGTCTGAAATGGTGAAATGAATTTCTATCCATACTTTTTTTTTTAATTTTTATCCATAATTAGCTAAACCTCACGACTCTTTAGACCGGCTAAAAGTCCTTTGACCAAAGTTTTAATGATTTGTTTTTAACAAGATTAAGGCGGGAATAACATGCTTAGATCAATAATTACCCAAGCCCATTACAAAAAAGTTTATCAAAACCATTGCTGGTTATGACACACACATGTACACGCCTTAAATGCTGAAAAAAGTCTTGGGACAATGATAATATGTCCCAAGGAAACTAATTTACTCAATTGAAGTCCAAGCAATTTCAAAATATTTAGTCCGTCTCTTGATTCTTAAGTGACATTTTGATATATTAGGAATTGGGAAAAAGCCTAAAACACTTTTGGTAACTTAAATGAAAATTTTTTAATTTTGTAATCTTGTTGTGATGAATTTATAATTTATTTTTTTAGTTTTAATAAATAACATAATTTACAAGTTTAATTCCTAATTTTGCAATTTTAAATTGATGGAATTATAACTTATTTTTTAAATTTTAAGAGAGAACACACATGTTACTGTTTGAAGTTAAAAAGTAACAAAATTATTACTCTAACAGTTATGAAAATTTATAAGTTCGCTTTCAATTTTAAAACTTTAAATTGATGAATGTGCAATTTGTAAAATTATGAATTTTTATCTAGGGTTAATTAAAATAAATGAAGTTGAGCTATTAAATTAATGAATTAATTTAAGTTCATTGAGCTTCTAAATCACTAATAGGCTTATTGGACAATTGGACGTCTTTGGAATTGAGTTAGGATAGTTATTGAGTCAATTGAGCCTTAGTGAATGGCCTAATATTTTGAATCCTAGGTTTGTGTCATATATCATAGCGGAGGCATGACATGTTGTGGTGGATGGGCAGAAATTGATAGATACGAGAAACAAAAGAAGGTGATTGAGATTTAAATATATCTAGCTTCAATTTCAGTACACACACATCGCTCTATTTGAATGAAGACTGAAAAGCAAAGTGATATAATGTGTTCCATTTTTCATATTTTCTTATCGTGTGCTTTTTCTTTATTGGGTTATCGTGCACTCAATGCAATCATTTTAATTTAAATCTTACCTTCTAATATTATAAAAAATTAATCTCTTCTATTAAATCCAATCTAACTAATATGTCTTTCTTTTTTTTTAGATTAATATATAATTTAAACCCTGAATTATAAATTTAGGGGTAATTTTAACTATAAACTTATTGAATTTGAACTATAAATTGATTGAGTTTTGTTGAAAACTAATGGTAGGGGTAAATTGCTCCAATTTTAATTGTTTAGGTTCATAATGTATTTTTTAAAAAGTTTAGAGTTCAAATAGCCCCTGAACCTATAATTTAAGGTCCAATTTGCATGCTAATTTTTTGTATTTTTTTTAAAAATACATTATAATAAATAATAATTCAACAATCACAAAAAAAGTGTATTTTGTATATTATATCAATTTTTAATAAGATTTTGAAGAAGTGTGTTAAGTTTTTTGGTTTGAACTGATCGATGAAGGTAAAAATTTATAAAAAAAAACTAAATGCTTTTATGATGACAGAGAAAAAAGTGTATGAAGAAAAATTTATTCTAAATTTTTTCTTAACAAAGAATAATAATGTTTTTTATAGATATTATTATGAAATTCCATTACGTCAAAGAACAAATAAAAAAATATAAAAGTGCGCTTATAGAAAAAGATTATGTTACACTCCTATTGCTATCACTGATAGCTTATAAAAACCCTATCCAACAAGAACAAAAATAGTCAACTCAATACCGTCTCATTTTTAAGCACCATAATCTCCACCGAAAATTGCTTTTCTCGTTAGGATAATTTACATCATTTTTTTATATAATTTCATCATCATCATCATCTACCTTTTTTTTATTCCTTCTTCTCATATCCTAAAAAATTTATAATATTACCACGGTTAATATGCAATTTGAACTCTAAACTATAGATCCAGGCGTGATTTAAACCTTAAACTTTTAAAAAGATATATTTTGAATCTTAAACAATAAAGGTGGGTTAAGTTTACCCCTATCGTTAACTTTCAATAAAATATCCATCAAATTGAGGCTTAAAGTGTAATTTTTTTAAAATGAATTTGATGAACATTTGTTGAAAGTTAACGGTAGAAGTAAAATTGCCTCATCTTTAATTGTTTAAAATTTATAATGCACCTTTTTAAAATTTAAAATTCAAATTACCCTTGAACCTATAATTCAGGGTCTAAATTATATATTAACCTTTTTTTATTATGGTATTATATATGTTGGAGCATGCTTATGAAATACGTAGAGTTAATTTTATTATCTATGACTTAATAATAATAATGATGATGATAAATACATAGATGATTTCTATTTCTATTATCATATTATTCAGTAAAAATAAAACACATGTATGTGTTTGTGTGTGTGTGTATAACAGATTTTATATTAAATATCAATTATATTAAAATATATTTGTATGAAAATAAAATCCATTACTTTTTGGAGCAAGAAAATAGAATATGTATTCAATTAAAAAATGATTAATGAACATCTTATACCTTAAACTATTATATAAATAATATCATAGACTTTAAACTTTTAAAATATGTAAAGACTTTCATTAACTTTTAAATTTTGAACATCTAAAACCTCATTGTTAAGTTAGAGAAAAAAGGTCATTATTTTTAAAGGTTAAGATAAGTGTCACACTGGTATGTAATTGAGCCTCACAACTATAGTTGGGAATTCATGCGAGCTAGACTTATTCGGGCTTGGCTTAAATAAGCTCGACTTGAATAGGCTTGATTCGTTGAAAAACTCTAATAACGAAGTTCGGCTTGAATATCTGAATTTTATTTTTGAAATTATTTTTTACTTTAAAGTTAATTATTTTATTTTATAAAAAATATAAAATATATTTTTTTGATACTCAAACCATATATATGACTCAAACGTATGGTATTTTAATATAAAATAATCTAAAAATTAAAAAATTTATTAATATTTATTATATTATATATATATTAAGAATATTTTTTTATTTAGGTATTCAAGAACATAAAAAAATCATTTTTTTCTAAGCCTGTCTCTAATTTTTTCAGGTGGGTTTGGGGTAGCCTGTCGGGTTTAACTCAAGTTACCGACTCTACTCATAATTACAAAAGCAACAGATATTTTTTTCAAATTAACGGTAAGGTTTTAGATGTTTGAAATTTAAAAGTTGACAAGAGTTTTTGTACATTTCAGGAGTTCAGAGTCCAAAATATAATAGCCAATAGTTTAGGGTTTAGGATATTCATTAATTCATTAAAAAAAATAAAAAACATTTTATTAATCCTACTTTTAAAATAAATGTAAATAGTAATTTATTACTCTATTCGTTCAAAAATATAGAGAGTTTTTAATCAAATCATACATTTCAATAAGGTAGTTAGTTTTCTTTAAATTAATACAATATTTTTATGTTAATACAATCTTTTTATATTTATCTATATTTAATATGATATTTTATTATAAAATAAAATAAAAATAATTTATTTATTAGGGATATGTTTTAAAAAATACATTAATAATATCTTAAAACACTAAAAATATCTTAGACTCCAAACTTAAAAGAAAAAATATAATTTTAGATCTCTATACTTTGTTCATACTCCCTCCGGTCCCATTTATAAGTCCAATTCTAGAAGGTGTATTTGGTCCCATTTATAAGTCACGATGCGTCTTTTTAGATAATATTTGAGAGGTATTTTCAAAATTACCCTTCATGAGAGAGAAAAAGCAACAGGACATTACTTTTTAGATTTGTTATATAGGGGCATGTTTGGAATTTTACTTACTTTTATTTCTTGTACTTTTATTGTATTGGTATTGATGAGGTTGGTAGAGATGACTTATAAATAGGACCGGAGGGAGTATTTGCTATTGATTCTCGTACTTTTTTTTAATATTCTAGATTTTTGCATTTTTATTTTTTAATATTTTAGATCTCTCTATAAATAAAATGTAGAGACATTGAAGGGATTTAGAATAAAAAAATATAAAAACTTAAAATATTAAAAAAATGTAAAGATTAATAATAAAATATGAATAAAGTATAAAAATTTAAAGATATATATTTTCAACTTCTATGATATCCAAACTTTGTTATAAAAAGTTTTGAACGGAGCTATTAAGAATTAAGAATTACCTGAATGGCTGAAACTGAATGAATGGAGGCCTGTCGTGTTCAACAACAACACCGAACCGAACCGAACCGAAACCAACACTGCAACAATTTCCTAACGGCGTTAAGACCATCCAAAATGGCCTCTCTCTTCCTTCGACCCTCGTCTTCCTAGTTTCCCCCTCTGCATCTCACCACTCAGTTGCCTTCGATCCTCACCTTCTCTCTCTAGAAGCTTCCTCCCTTCTCGGAGGCTTTCGGAAAGGTGCGGCTTCGTTACATCAGCTTTCCATCTGCTCTGTTCGTATGCAGAGAGTCGTATTACTATCATATACGCGGGAAACTCAAGGATATATCGATTAACGAATTTCTAAAAGAAAGGTCTTCTTCATGGCTTTTCCCCCGCAGAAAATTTTCATTTTTATTACTTTTTTCTTTTTCTGGTGGTTTCCACTGTAAATTCCGTGTCTTCTGCATGGATTTGGGATTGGGGGTTTTGAATAGCTTCAAATTTCGGGCTATTTGTTGTTTTTTCTTGATTATTACTCACTCTTAGTTCCTTTTGAGTAACTTATTGGGTTTCCTCTTCTTTTTCAGTTTTCTTGGATTTTTTTTTTCTTGCCGATGATGTTTGCTTTCAATGAGGTTTTCCCCCTTGATCTGTTTTCATACAATGATCCAATTCAACATAATCTTTCTTGTTGAACTCTGTGTTCACTTCACTGTCCTTGAATCTGTCAAGTTATATTGCTTTTCCAGTTTTTTTATTTTTTTGGCTCACTGATATTCTTTTGGGATGTATGTTTTAGAAACATCCTTTTGGAATGGAAAATTCTTGAAACTCGTGTTGTTGACTGCCCCCACATTATCGACCATGCATATTCTTTTGATTCTGATTCTTTGTGGTCTCCACTTTTTGTTTAGGTATTTGTGGAATTATATCTAAATTCAGAAAAACTGCTAGCTGCAGAACGATTAATTTTTTCGTTTGTTGGTTGTTCTGTGTAAAAACTTGGATTAAAATGATAACGTGTTTTAGACTCTCAGTTCCTGCAGTTCCTGTTACATTATCGATTATCACAACTGATTTTATGTCACTGTCATTACAGTTCCAGGGAAAATCTGTATTTACAAGTTAATGGTGCAGATTTGTATCTGGGGATGTAACTGGTGGTTGTGTTGATAAAAAAGGTTAAGACTGTTGTATATTCAAGTATGGGCGCTGTTTGTTGTGTTGCTTCCAAAGATAAAGATAAAACCATACAAAGTGGATCAACTAATGAAGTTTTACATAGAAACAATCGCTACTCTCCAACATGGAGTTTTCGCTGGGATCATCGAAGACGTGTAGCTGGTGAAGATGCTTCTATAAATTGGCTTTCTGACGGTGTTAGCCAGAATGATGGATCAGAAGACAAAAACGACTCAGCATATAAATCAGATGATGGATTATCATTGCAGACTTGTGAAGGTCATAGAGGGCAAAAATCACCAACTTCAGAAGGAACTGCTGAGCATACAAGGACTTTTACTTCAGGTAACTTTTGTGGATTCTTCTTTTTGATTTATAATAAGCTATCACCTGCTTGGACTGGAATCTGAGAAATGGATTTTACCCCAGTCACTTCATTTTTGAACTGCTTATCTTTAATATGAGATCAAATGCTAAACTACTGGATGGAATGGTGATTTTAATCACAAATTTGTGAAGAAAATATGAAATAAGTGATCTGCTTGTGGAACATTCAGTTTGGACTCATTGTGATATTTTCTTACATATTTGGACACGTGCTAATGAACACAAGGAAAAAATTGATGATTGGTAACTACTGTGGTTAAAAGATAGTTCTGTAAAGCCAAAAAGTTCTTATAATGGAGGAGTATAACTGGAATTATAGAGCAGCAACAACGACATAAGTAACAAGCCTTATCATGCTAGGTGGGGTTGGCTACATGGAACTATAAAGTAAAATAACCATAAATTGTTAATCAGTTGATACTCAAGTAAATTGGGAAAGTAATGTATAAGTTGAATAAAGATAGCTGAGGTTAACTAGATTGTGGGCCTATGCTTTGTGCAGAATCTGAGATGAACTATATTATTCACGACTTACAATTTATGAATGATGCAGTTTTCTATGGATTTTATATTGTATATGGGTATATAGATTCTTGAATTTTGGCACGGCAAGATACCATATGTTGTATGAGCAAGACATAGTATACGTTATGTGGTGTTTTGATGACCAACCTTTGAGTAAATAAAAATCATTTGCTTAAGGTAGAATTTAATTAAGTCTTTTCCTTAAAACCATACAGATAGTTGATATATTATGTGAAGGTAAAGGACTTTCTAGTTTTATCCTTAGGATATTATTTTGTCTATAGAGTTACTGAATAGTAAATCCTTTGACAAGGTGAAGTGTGATAGAGTACCAGTTATGGCCGAATAATGGATAATTTGAGAAGTTAGAGAAATATTAGGAAATAGTTGTTTTATTGATCATATTGTCTATTTTATAATATTATTTAGATTTTATTTTAATATTTAGTTATCTAGATTTTCTTTAGATATTTATTTAGATATCTAGATTTATCTTCCTTATTTCTCTCTACCCATCTTGGATCCTATCAAAGTGCTTCTGCTAATGCTCTAAATTTAGTTATCAAATATAGTTCCCTAATTTGCATATGATCCCATCTTGCACTTGATATCATAATGTGGATCTGTGAAGAGACAAAAATGTTGCTTGGTAGGCATTAGTACATCCTTAGTTTGACAATGACTGATGAGAAGTGCAAAATCTTTACACCATGCCAGCGTTTTAGTTTTCTTTCTTTATATTATACCTTATTTAATATTGATCAAGTAGTAATGCCACGCACTGTCAGGTTCACGGAACCCTTATCTCTCAACTTTCTTTAGAAGTTGCAATACACCCTCTTAGGTTGCCCTTGGCAGTATATAAAGGCAAATAAAGAGCTTTAATTTATTCTTCCATTCAGTGACGAAGAGTAAATTTCAAGTGGGACTCTGTTTTTTAATTATTCTTTTCATTGACTGCTATTGATAAATTTAAAAGGAGATATTTGTATCCAATTTCCCTGTTGCTAGTAAGTTTTTGGGTCTTGTCATTGTAGTGTACTTGTACGTCATTGTGATATGAGAATAGTAGAATTTGTGATATGTTTGTACGTAGATGTAATATGTTTGGTTTTGGTGTGGTTCATATGGCAAGGGTAAGGGACAGAACGTAGATTTCAATCTTTTCAAGTTCAATAATAATTCCTGTATTTTGTGTTAAAAAAGAAAAGAAAAGAAAAGATGCCTTGTAAATCATGATCCTCAACATTTACCTTGTATACATTCTCAAAGAATAGGCTTGTCCACTTCCAAAGATACAGGTCAGGGTTTTTGTTATGCTATGAAATTTTTTCTGCACTTGATCTGAAACATATATAGTCCATTGCTGTCTTAAACTGTTGGCTGGTATTCTTAATATTCTCTACTGGCTGATTTGTCTCTGCCATGGTTATTTATGCTTGTGGCAGATCAATCTAATTCAAGGAATGTCTCCATGGATGTGAGTGTGGAGCAGGTGAGAGGTTATAATACTGAACTGACTTTCTGTTGTTTTACAATTTTTATGTGGCTGAGTGTCTGTGATCTGTTTGACAATCTTCCTACATCTGATTTATATTGTAGGTGAAAGGGTCAGCAGAATCAGCTATAGTGTCAAGTACATCCCCCTCAAAACCACCATTTTCAATGCCTTCAACGTCCTTTCTACCGTCTCCTCTCTCATCCCAGAGTCATCTACCTCCAGCAAGCCCAACCCCATTAAGGCAACGCTGCCATTCTCCTGGAAACCAAATATTGCTGCAAGTTTCTCCTGGACAAATCCCAGGACCCAAGTCACCAAACAGTTTACCTGCTTCAGAACAAAGGTCTGTTTTCCCTTCTTGGAGCAATGAATCACATAGGGGCTCCCAAGGTGGTTCTTCTGATGGTTGGTCTATACCTGGCTTTTCTGAGCCTATGGGCACTTCTCAAGGAGGAAGATGGTCATTTGATAGTGAGTCCTTTGGATTTGATGATGAAAAGTTTGCTAGAACTAGTAGCCAGATTTCAACTTCGTTCACAGATCTGCATACATGTGGTGTTTGCTCAAAGCTTTTAACTGAGAGGTCTTCTTGGAGCACCCAAAAGATAATTGCTAATAATGAACTTTCAGTAGTTGCTGTTCTTGGCTGCGGACATGTTTATCATGCTGAATGTTTGGAGAGCATGACGCCTGAAGTAAACAAGTATGATCCAACTTGCCCAATCTGCACCTTGGGTGAGAAACAAACTCTTAAGTTGTCCGAAAAAGCTCTGAAAGCTAGAATGGATTTGAAGGCTAGAAACAAGAAGTCCATGAACCGAGTTGTGGATAGTGGTACCGATGATGATTCAATTGTGTTTGATCACTTCAAGGGTGGTGGGAACCAATGTAAAGTTTCACGGATGCACTTGAATTCCAGTGCAAGGAGCTCCTTTGGGAAACCCTTTCTAAGGCATTTCTCATTTGGCTCAAAGAGTCGCAAAGACTCATCAGATAATCCCCCTGCAAGAAAAAAGGGGTTCTTTTGGTCAAAATCTAGCAAGGAATAGGATGTGCCTACTGGCTTTTCACGGGGTAAGTTGATTTGTCTTCATATTGTTGTTTGCGCCAGCTAATCAAAATTGTATGTATATAGTTGTCTTCTGCCATGCATTAGCATCATAGTAATAAAGGTTTGGTTGCACTTCCTTGTGTATTTAAGCAACTATTTTGCTTGCAGATTATTTTTATCTGGGTTGGTTTTATGTGGAACAGAAAATAAAAATTAAACTTTTGATATTCCCAATATATATATATATTCAAAGCTCTATGCAGTTATTTTTCCCCTGGGCTTAATGTATGCGTATTCTTCTTGTTCTTATTAAAGCAGGCTATGTTGTTGATCTCCGCAAGCCCAGACAAAAGATTATGATGAGGGGGTGCGGGATGTTATCTAGTAAGTTTTGATTTTTGAACTCCATTCTGTGATTACAACAGGTTTAGAGGCTGAAGTTACTCTCTAAAAATTAAAAAGTGGAAAAGGTACAGAAGGATTGGTTTAATATAGAGAGAGTAATGATGTTTTGAGACCAAGGGTTGTTATTATGTACAGATGGCTTAGTTTATTGAATGGATACATAGTATTCAGTATTCACACCCAAATTACATTGGGGATCTGCTGATGATATATAGATAATGCTTGCTGTTTGCCTTTGGCGAGCTTCTGGTGTTGAGCAAAGTACCAATGATTTGTATTGACTTAAAAGTCGATCGCTTGTAACGAAACAACAGTTTTCATTCAAGAGGACTGATCATAGAATTTAACGCTTTGCTTGTAGCAGACTGAATTCAATGCGTTTTCACATTTTCATGTATGACCTACCTCATTAAGTTGCTTCTGGGCTGCACGTTGAATCATCTTGCCGTCAATTCAATTGAGGCTACCATAAAATTCTTTGTTAGGCCCCCTGGAGCAAGCCAGTTTTGAATGTGACTCGGCATTTTATTTAGATACGAAGTCAAAGTTATATGGTATGGTATCAATATCATTAGTATTCAACGTAATACATAGGGGATTTTGCCATCTGTAAGTCTTGAAGTTGATTTTATTTTTGAATTTTGTGAATTTTTTTTCCTTCAATTTTTTTCCTACATATTTAAAGAATGAAAATATTAGAAAAAACAGTACAATATTTCTTTCAAGAACTTCTAAACAATTATCTATCTGTTCTCTGGGATACGGCCTGAGAGAAGGGTATCTAGTTTATGATTTGAGAATTCAGTATTTTTTACTAGTGCTTAGCTTGATAAGTGGTCCTAACTTTTTTTTTTTTTTCCCAAGATGTTTCATTTGATCTGTTTATCAGAGATAGTTGTGACATTACCTTCGGATAGTGTTAAACGTTTAGGCTAAGGCCTTGAAAAAAACGAAAAGCAGTCTAAGAAAACTTTTTTTTTTCTTAATAGCTTGAAAACTTCAAATATTAGCAGTCAGAAGCAATGGACAAGAAGAGTCCAAAGCAGAAAAACAAGGAGCAAGAAAAGAAAGAAAGAAAGTAGCAGGGATTAAAGCAAAACCATGACAGGAAAGAAAATTAACAGATGCAAATCAGCCGATCCCTTCCACGTCAAAAGGAGTGTTTTGAATTAGCACTTAGCAGCATCACGAGCGAGAATAAGAACCAAAGAAGATGCTGGTTGAGTCATCCACCTCGAACGCAAAGGAGCTGCCAAGACATCAGCAGCACGATTCTCCTCCTCAGGATGAGGAGAGAGAGAAAAGAAGACAGCAGCTCAGGACGCTACAAGATCTCATATGTCTTTGAGAATAAACCAACAGGAGAACCACTCACAATCTGAAAAAACTCGTACATTTCACACAGGAAAAACACATCAGCATCGTCAACTTTCACAGTCACCCGCTCAATGTCAAGCAAATAGCCTTCTTGACTGCTTGGAGTTGAACCATAAACATTGAATCACTACTGTTTGATCATTAGAGCATCAATGCCTACTCTATGGTTTTAAAAAAAGTTAGACTAAACTTCGATTTTTTTAATTTTTTTTTTACTTTTTATCAATTATTTTCTTATTTAATATCCTATATAAGCAATTGTGGAGCTAAGACTTAAAGTCAGAGATGTAGGATAATTTAATTTAAAAATTACTATTTTGAAAAAAATTATAATTAAATTAGGATTAAAATTGTGATAACATAAATAGATTGATAATAATTTTTTCAAAAAAAATTATATTGAACTAATTGATATGGTCTTTTATATAAATATGCTCTTCATATTTTTTCTTGATCATTAAAATATTATATACCTAATAAAATTTTAAGCACGAATATTTTTTATTTAGTTTAGAAGGTGCAAAATATTAAGATATAAATTTACAAATATACTCTACTTATAATTTTTTTTCAAAATGAGGAAGTGCAAACCTTGTGGCTCTATCATTGTATATAAGTGAATTAATAATGATAATTGAAATTTTAATACATTATTTTTTAAAAAAATAAATAAAATAGAGATATAATTAAAAAGACAATTATAAAAATTATGAAGTACTTTAAATTTTAGACAAAACATAATTTTTAGAAAATGGCATGTGCATGATAATGATAGCAACATCAACATTGAGAGTTGACAGCTGTAAATGGGGAAAAAGCCGCCCACATTCAACGTACTACGTACCTGCTTTATATGCATGCTGACTCAACATGCGTTATGCGGCCATCGAGCATCCTTCTACAAAACTCCACCATGTTACAAAAACCAGTGCTCGTACTTTTTCTCTCTTTCAGTAATATTCCATATTTATTTATTGTTTAACTTCTCTTACGTACTTTATCCGCAGCATCAATATTCTTCTTGCTATATGAGTGGCCACTCCTCCTGTGTATGGTAGGGGTGAGTATTCGGTTACTTCGATCGATATAATTTTAATTTTTTTAAAATTGATTGATTAAATTATATAAAAAATTTAGATTAAATCGAATCAAAATACATAATCAAACCGAATTAAAATCGAACTGAATTTTAATGATTCGATTCGATCAGTCTATTTGATTTATGAGCTTTGAATTGGGTCAATAAAATTTAACTGTTCATATATTCTTCTATCCAATTTTTTTCCTTGATATTAAAGGCCCAACAAAAAAATAACAATTTTATATCATAATTCATGAGAAAATTAATAAGACTCAGTACTATTGTACTAAAAACTAAATCATAGAAATAAAAAATTAGAACATCATATTAAATGAAAAAAATGCTATTACTGCAAGTAGTAGAAATATGTTTCTTACTCACATAAATGAGAATTTATTCATATTTTCAAAAATATGAAAGGAAAAATATAGATAATTCGGTCATTTCGGTTTATTTAATTTTTGAATTCTCAGACTGAATCGAACCGATTAACTGAAATTTTCATTAAAAGAAAATCAAATTGAATTGAAAAATCGAATAGATCGAATCAAATAGATAAAATTTGATTTGATTCAGTTCAATTTTTGATTTCGATTCGGTTTTGCTCACCCTTATATATGTGTGTAATGATTGGCAAATACACAGCCAACCCAATTAAATCCCCCAATGGGGTTAGCTTGATTGGATTAATTTTTTTTGGGAGAAATGACATTAAGGGCCTTAAAAATAAATTTTATTACAATTTGGGCCTAAATAAATCTGATATTACTTTGCAGACCTTGAGGCCCTTATTGCCAATTTTTTTGAGATCAAAAGTACAATTTTGTCCTTTGATTTGAATCCAGAACCTGCGTGAACTCCCAAAACAACTAAATAGATCAGGCAAAATATAACATTTACTTTGCACAAGACAATGTGTACGCATCTCAACAGAAAGTTCATGCATTTTAAGTATTTTACTAGTCTTGACTTTAGCAAAAATGACTAGGTAGACCATACATGACACAACATTCAGTATGCATAATATGATGTCCACATGTGCTGAACAAAAAATTTATATATTTTCAGTATTTTACTAGCCTAGGCTATAACAAAATAACGTTAGGTAGACCATACATGACACAACATTCACTATGCACAAGACGATATCCATACATGCTCAACAAAAAGTCTATGCATTTCCAACATTAAGAAGGACAATTACATCATATATGAATAATTTCATGTTGGTATTAGTTTAGGCGCTAAAACAAGTACCCACATGAAATTTGACATAATATTTTAAATCTGATATATATAAAAAGTTAGCCATTATATTCAAAATTTCTAACAGTTACTTCTCCATATACAAACAAAAAATATTTATGATTCCCACTTATCCAAAAAATCTTATTTGAAAATGCTTTCACATACATAATTATAGTTGCTTGTGTACACTAAAGAAGTACAATATAACCACTTCTCATGCTGGGTTAGGATTCTTGTATGTCTTATGACTGTGTCCGGCCTTCTCATATCTTGAACAATGATAAATCTTCTTATCTTGAAAAACTCTATCCTTTTTATTCATGGCCTCCCGGGAGGATGGCTAATTAAAGATGATTGCAAGAAAAAAAAGTTTGTGATATATTCTCACCTAAAAGTCCATGTAATTTCAATTTATCATTATGTTAGGCTTAACAAAATACTGAAATTAGGCAAATAATACATAATATAATATTCACTATGCACAATATAAGGTTCATTTATTTCCAACTAAAAATTCATAAGATTATACTTTATCAATAAGTTAGGCTTGACAAAATATACAAGTAAGCAAACAATACACAATATAATATCCATAATGCACAATATAAGGTTTATATATTCTCAACTAAAAGTTCATATGATTCTTCTTTATCAGTAGGCTAGGCTTAACAAAATGTACAAATAGGTAAATAATGCATAACACAATATCTACTATGCACAATATAAGATTCATTTATTCTCAATTAAAAGTCCATAAGATTCTACTTTATCAGTAGGCTAGGCTTGACAAAATATACAAGTAAGCAAACAATACACAGCACAATATCCATTATGCGCAATTTAAGATTCATATATTCTCAATTAAAAGTCCATATGATTCTACTTTATCAGTAGGCTAGGCTTAACAAAATGCACAAATAGGCAAACAATGCATAAAACAATATCCATTATGCATAATATAAGGTTCATTTATTCTTAACTAAAAGTTTATAAGATTATACTTTATCAATAGGTTAGGCTTGACAAAATGCGCAAGTAAGCAAATAATGCACAATACAATATCCACCATGCACAACACAATCTTCACATATTCTAAACTGAAAGTTCATGTATGTCTAGTTTATTAATTGGCTAGGCTTAACAAAAAGTTTTTCAAGTTTATGAATAATAAAAAGTTTGTATATAACATGACAAGATCTATTTATTAACAACACAATGTCCATTTATTTCACATGATTTGTGTGATTAAACTAAACATTTGAAAAAGTTTCTCAAGTTTATGAAAACAAAAGGTCCATATATAACATGAAAGTATCCATTTGCTAACAACACAATGTCCATATATTTACAATACAAGGTTTGTCGATATGATATACATAAATATCCGCACAAGTTAATTACAAAGTTTGCACAACGTAAACTCCATAAATAACAACATAAATTTCATAAATAACATCTACACTAGAACATTTATATCAGTTGCAGAAAAATATGTGTTAGAAATAACAAAAAGTCCATAAATAATAACTTGTTTTCATTAAATGAACGTGAATGTGTACATTATGATTAGATAAAATTGATATAGCTCAAACTCTCTATATTCTTTTTTTGACAAAATAAAGTTGATAATGGCAGATGTAG